AATTACTATATCAGATTTATGGGAAAATACTCTTAATGAATAAACTTATAGGCAATTTTAAGGAGGTAGAGACTTTTAAAAGCAGACATGCTCAGATTAAAATTACAGTATGTAAAAAAACACAGAACCTAGATAGAATAATGTCAGATTACAAATAACAGAAGAAATATCCAATTAGAAACGTAGAGAAAAAAATATTTTTAAAAATGAATAGATCTGCAATAATCTCTGTTAAAGTGTGAAAAAGTCTAAAATACATAAAACGACCAAAATCTTAATTTTAAGAAAATTTATGTATGTGTAGAGTTAAGAAATTCAGACAACTCGAAGAAGAGACAATAAACAGAAAATAAATCATGTTCAGACATCTAAAAACTGACATAAAAAGAAAACCTAAAAAAAACCTAGAGAAAAATGGTGTGTTGGAAATAGGCCATGAAAAATGTGAATCAGTTATGACTACACTTTGGAAAGAATGAAGATGGAAAGGCAGTGGAGGGAGATTTTTTTAATGGGCTCAACAATAAATAAAACTATTAACTGGAAATCTGATTCTATACCCAGCAAAAATATCCTTTAATAATGGAAGTGAAGTGAAGACATATTCAGAAAATAAAAACTAAATACTAAGAAAATCTGTCACCCCTCTAAATACCTGAGAATAACTGCTACAGAAAGTTTTTCTGGCTGAAGAGTAATTATTCCAGATCTAAATCAGACTTTTAGGTATGAACAGAAAACATAGAAAATTCTGAAGATGTCAGGAAACTAACGGAATATGTTTCCTTTTAATTACTTAGACATATAACTTATTAAAACAAAAGTTATAACATTTTAATATGGAGTTTTGAACATATTTAGATATAATACATATGAAAACTATAAAATAGAAGATAGAGGTATAGAAAACATATCCAAGCACAATGTTCTTATATTTTCTGCAAAGTGGTAGAATATGAAATATATGGAAATCTTAAAAACTTAAAGATATATATTGCAATCACTAGCAGCACCTCTAAAATATAATAGATATATCAGAAGGCTAATAGATGTTAATATTAAATGCTAACAAATATTTAATTGACTAAAAAGAAGACAATAAAGGAAAACAGAGAAACAAAAATATGTTGGTAAAAGATAAATTTTAAAGTGGTAGACCAAATATAACTATTATTATTATATTAATTTTTTTCCCATTTATTTATTTTATTGCATTTTAGGTTTTGGGGTACATGTGAAGAACATGCAAAATTGTTGCATAGGTACACACGTGGCTGTGTGATTTGCTGCCTTCCTCCCCATCGCCTACATCTGGCATTTCTCCCCTTGCGATCTCTCCCCAGCTCCCCACCCCACACCGTCCCTCCCATTTCCCCCCAGATGACCCCAGTGTGTAGTGCTCCCCTCCCTGTGTCCATGTGTTCTCATTGTTCAACACCCGCCTATGAGTGAGAACATGTGGTGTTTGATCTTCTGCTCTTCTGTCAGTTTGCTGAAAATGATGGTTTCCAGGTTCATCCATGACCATACAAAGGACCCAAACCCATCGTTTTTGATGGCTGCATAATATTCCATGGTGTATATGCGCCACATTTTCCCTATCCAGTCTATCGTCAATGGACATTTGGGTTGGTTCCAGGTCTTTGCTATTGTAAACAGTGCTGCAATGAACATTCGTGTGCACGTGTCCTTATAGTAGAACGATTTGTAATCCTTTGCGTATATACCCAGTATATTAAATATAAGAAGATTAATAGCTCCAATTAAATAGAAGCAATTTTCAGATTGTACAAAATAGCAAGACCAATACAAGGAATTCCACGAGATATATATTATAAAAATACAAATTAGTTTTAAGAAAATATAGTGCTTACAACTTTTCCAAAATTAACCTAACATGGATCATAGAATTAAATGTAAAATGCAAAATTATAAAACACTTAGAAAATAATGTATGAGAAAATTTAGATGGCCTCAGTTTGGATGATGTCATTTTAGGTTCAACATAATACATACAATCTATGAATAAAAGAATTTATAGGTTGAATTTTATTAAAATTAAGACCTTCAGTAGGTGGATACATAAACTGTGAGATAGCCATATAATGAAATATTATTCGGTGCTTAAAAGAAATGAGCTATCAAGCCACAAAAACATAGAGGAAATCACTGGTGATTTTGATAGGAATATGTCATAAAAGTAAATTTAAAGACAATTACATTTATTAAAATAGTGAAATTTCCTAGGGCAAAATAAAATGTATTTTAAATTTTATTAACATCCATTTTATGTTATTAAATAAAATTTTCTATTTTTATCTGCATAAGTCGTAGACAATAATTTCTAATTTTAGGCCTATATCTTTTTGTATCTTTGGTTATGCTTATAAATTAGATAATTTTCCTAATATATTTTCTAAATTATGATTATTGATATATGTTAATGTTTATCTTTCATTTGTAACTGACCATCTTACGTAATTCTTATAATTTATAATAGTTTCTCAATTGATTTTTAAATATTTCCAAAGTGGCAAATCACGCTATAAATAAATAATATTTTGCCTCTTTTTGTTACATGTATTGCATTTATAAAAATAAATGCTTGATTAATTCTATTGGCTCAAATTTCTAAGCAATGTTACAGTAGTGAAAATAAACATCTTTGCCTTACTTATGAAATTGAAAGAATCATTTTTGTTCTACTGTTAAGTATGAGGCTGTATATTGGAGATTTTGAAGTTTTATTAATCTATGTTAATACAAAGGAAGGATCTTTTTATTCTTATTTCATTAAAATATGTTTATCAGAAATTTATTTATTTATTTATTTATTTATTTTTGACATGGAGTCTTATTCTCTCACTCAGGCTAGAGTGCAGTGGCACCATCTCAGCTCACTGCGACCTCCACCTCCCAGGTTCAAGAAATTCTCCCTTTCTACCTGCCTCAGCCTCCCAAGTAGGGATTACACCTCAGTAACTTTTGTATTCTTTAGTAGAGACAGTGTTTAGCCATGTTGGCCATACTAGTCTCAAACTCCTGACCTCAGGTGATCCACCTGCCTCAGCCTCCCAAAATGTTGGAATTACAGGTGTGAGCCACTGAGACCAGTCCAGATATTTATTTTAAAATCAGTAAAATAGTTACTGAAACTCCATCAAGATTATATTTTTTCTTTTATCATTAATGTGATTAATTCTCAAAATATATATTCTAATGTATTAGAATTAGATCATGCTGCATTTTAGATCATGTTTCCATTTGTTCATGTGCTTTACATTTTACATGAATGTACAGTCTATTCAATAATAATTTATGATTTTATAAGTGAGTCTGCCACAGATATTTCTGTCATGCTTTGTGAGATTTTCACATCTGAGTCATGCCAGATTTATAAAGAATTGGAAAGCATTTTTTTTACACGTTAGTTATGGAAAATTTAAAATACAAAGAGAATCATTTGCTCCTTAAGTTGAGGAAAATGAATAGAATAACTAAGCTGTAAGATCCACAAGTCTTATTGGGGGGTAATTGTGCAGTATCTCTTTTTTGTTTTCGAGATGGAGAATCAGTCTGTCATCCAGGCTGGAGTGTGGTGGCATGATCCTGGTTCACTGCAACCTCCACCTTCTTGGTTCAAGCAATTCCCCTGCCTCAGCCTCCCGAGTGGCTGGTATTACAGGCTCACACCACACACCCAGCTACTTTTTTTGTATTTTTAGTGGAGATAGGAATTCATGATGTTGGTCAGACTGGACTTGAACTCCTGACCTCAGGCATCAGCCCGCGTTGGCCTCCCAAAGTGCTGGGATTACAGGCCTGAGCCACCGCTCCTAGCCTCTGCGGTATCTCTTAGGGTCAGGCCATACTTCCAACTTTCATCCCTCCAAATTAGGGTATATTACTTGAATCTGCTAGAATTTCATACACATCTTACTCAACATGCCACCACTTCTGTCAATAGGGGAGTTTAATGTGGGTTTCCTGATTGTTTGTTCAATTTGTTTCAAAGTGTAATATACCTGGCAGGAATTATCCAGATACTTTACGACAGTAAAATCACTTGAAACTAGGAGGTGGAGGTTACAGTGAGCTGAGATCGCGCCACTACTGCACTCCAGCCTGGGTGACAGAGCAAGACTCAGTCTCAAAAAAAAAAATTAAATAAATAAATAAACTGTCTGTGATCACCAATATTTCTTGAATCCTATCTTATTCTACTTGTTCCACATTGCTAAAAGACCCACAAATTTCTGACTGAAGTTTAAAGAAAATCACCACAACTAGATAGCAGAGTCCAAGAAACAGAGACAAAGACCTCAGTGGTACTGACAGACAATAGCAAAGTCACCAAAAGACAAAGATTTTAAGGCCACAGAAAAGAAATCTTAAGCGGCAAGGCATCAAAAGCAAAAGTCTGGTTCAAAATTATTATTAATATCTGCTTTGAACACGGACGGGAGGAGTCAAAGTACAATAATTACACTCTTATTGAGGTTAATGACTAATCAACAATTTGTTCCTGATCTATCTGGATGAGCCAATGAGACAATTATAAGTAACAAGAGGGAAGAGCAATACCAGAGTAAAATCAAATAGCAAGAAAGTGATAGGCATATTAACACTCATAGAAATAGAGTTCGTCAGTTAGTGGACACTGGTGACAACAGCAGAGAAAACTCTGGAGAGCTATCAACTGCATGCAAACAAGGGCATTGGAAATTACAGAAAATGCAGAAGAACATTGGGAAACGAGAAAGCCCAGGAAGTGTGGGGGAGGGTCAGCGTGCAAAAGAAAGGATGTGACGTCACTGAGCTACCTGGCTCCTCTGTTAGCAAAGCGGTTAGCAACGCTGTTTGTCTGCGTGGGAAGGAAGAGGTGAGAATTCTCCTTGGAGACCGGCCCTTGCTTTCTAAAGTGACTATCCGTTTGAGTTACCTTTGTCCTAACTCAGTTGTCTGTGATTCCCAATATAGTAAAGATAAGCCTTTTGAATATGGAGGCTGCTGCAGAAGACGCGGCGGAGATCCAAAGCCCAATGGAAAACGAAACACCGGCGGACAACCTAAGCCTCGCCCAAGACACTTCAATCATGTCGAGAAGTAACGCAGATATAGACAAACCGCTTACCTTACCACGGCGCCGGAAGAAGGGGAACTTGCCAGTCGCGTCTGTTAAGATTCTCCGCGACTGGATGTATAAGCATCGGTTTAGGGCTTACCCTTCAGAAGCGGAGAAGCAAATGCTGTCGGAGAAGACCAATTTGTCTTTGTCCCAGATCTCTAACTGGTTCATCAATGCTCGCAGACGCATTCTTCCAGAGATGCTTCAACAGTCTAGAAATGACTCCTTCGTTGATCAGGAAATGGGCAAAGATGACGATGACACCCACCTGCAGGACACCGATGACTTCATGTCTGCCAAGTCAGGGCCCAGAGATCCAGACAAGGTACAATCCCTGTGGCCCGTGCCAATGGGCCAGATGTCAGGAGAGAAGCTACCAGATCCGGGGTCGGCCTCTAGCGAGGAGCTCGCCGTGATAGCCCAGCCAAAGAAAAAGGTCAAGGTTTCTACCAACACAACCCCATCTTCTCCAGAACCTCTGTTTCCAGAGGAGTATCCCGATTTTACCAGCTTCCAGATTCTGGTCGAAGTAGCAGTACAACGGGCTGCCGAGCTGGAGCTAGAGAGGCAGCAAGAGCAGAATCATGATTGATGATATCTCAAAAACCCAAGTAGTCAGCCCCTTACCTACTGTGGTAAACCTGTTTATGCTCACCCCAACTTATTTGTGTGCTTACCTTTCATAGAGGCATCTTTCTTTCTACTGGTTTCATGAGAACCAGTCTTAGTTATTGGGACTAAATTCTGTCAGATATTCCAATGTTTCCAGGTGACTAAGGTGCCATCATGATTAACACCGGAGCAAAGATCTTTTATTCTGCTTCACCCTGGACTTGAACTCTTTAGACAATCAGACTAATACATCGGACAGTAAACATCAAGCTAGATTTCAGAGACAAATGTTTTTGGCTTTCTAGCCAAGTTTCTTAATCCCAGGGTTGCTACAAATACTAAGTCACCCCTCTTTGTCCCTCTCTCTGTAATCTCCCTTATGTGTGTGAATCATAGAAAAGAGTCTCTATAAAAATGGCTATAACATCACTCGCCTCCCGCATTTTATTGTGGGAGTTTTTGTGAAGCGTTCAACTCTTATGCTCCTCTTTGTGCAGTTTATTGGCCAATTTTAAAGTAGTTATTCTTTGCAGGGGGTTTGAGCATGACAACGAAAGTACAGTAAATTCATGAACATTTTCTTGGATACAGGTGAACTCTGCTTGGTTTGAGCAGTGAAAAGTCTGAATAAAGGTAAGAAAATTCCAAATGTTAATCTTCTCTTGCTGGTTGTTGGTTAGATAGTTGGTTTTAGAGAATACTTTTTGGGTCTTAATTATCAAAGTAAAAAGGTAACAACAAAAATAATGTAGATCCAGGTATTCTATTATTTTGTTTTTATCTTTTTAATACATTTATATATTTTTTCTATTAAAATTCTTTTGGTAGGGGTTGGGGTAGGAATGTCAAAAACTCCAGACAGGTCCCACATGAAAATAATCCTATTGTCCTATGAAGGCAGCTTTTTCACACAGGCAGATTTTCAATAGAATAGGAACAGAAAAATACTACCCCAGACAGCTGTAATTTTACTTCTTTGATTTTAGGGACCTAAAACCTGAGGGATCTAGGTCTACAATTTGGACTCTATCTTGTTTCTGATTCTGCACTAATGTGAAATAGATCATGATTTGTCTACTTCTAGGGCTCATTTTTATATTGTTATCAAATTCTTGGCAATTTTAAATACAAGATACCATATCTTCTTTAGGCATCGAAACAAGCAATGGTCATGGGCTATTACTCTGGATATTATCAGTTTCCATCTTATGAGAAAGGAAACAGACCCACATTCCCAAACTGCTATTTCTGAAATACACTAAAGTAGGAAGGAATTAAGGTTTCTGAGCTATACACACATCCAGGGCATTTGGAAGGAAGTGATACAATAATATTCATTGTAACCTTACTGAGGAGGGCCCCTAAACACTCAAGGAAGTGCCATACCATTTTCTTCATAGTGCCTTCCTTTGTCCCACAACCCCCAGACAGGCCCAGGTGTGTGATGTTCCCCCCCCTGTGTCCATGTGTTCTCGTAACCTGAGTGTGTGTGCATGCATGCATGCATGCGTGTGTGTGTGTGTGTGTGTACTAGACACATAAAACCCAAGAATCCAACAAGAAAACAAGCTTTACTTCCAAATCAATGCAGTGTATTAGTAGAATCTTCACTATGAAAGCAGAATCACAGTTGATAAGGTGACCGTGATATTTTTACACACTATGGGTATTTCATAAAGATACCAGAGAAAAATTTGACCTTTAAGAAACAAAATGATTATAATAATTCCAGACAAATATACCTGGATTGTAGGGTACCAAGAGACTCTGAAAGCAGCTGTTGTGACCATGCATGAATATTAGAATATAATGCCAAAGATATTTGTTCCTGAAAAAATGTTATATGATTTTGAAAGTACCTGAACAAAATCAGGATTTCATTTGGTCAAGTGACCAACTTCCTGGATACAAGAAACTAAGGAAATTAACTTAAGATATTAACTATAAAACAGAATAATCATAAAGACATTCAATAAACCACTGTATAATTATTAGAAACTATATAGCTTTCCAAGAAAATTCCTATACATTTTAATTATCTGTTTATAAATAAATGTCTACGATAAGTCTTGCCTATACTTCTCACTTAATTATAATCATCTCTACAGTCAGATATGATTCATCTTTCCCAGACATTCCAACATTTTTATAAGTGGAATTCCTAATTGTGCAGCTATAACACTCTGTTGCTTTCAATTAACAAAGCTAAAACTCTTCCTCTCTACTGTCCATCAAAGATAACACTATTTCACTTTTTTCGTAGTTTTTTGAGATGGCACTCAAAAATGATATTTTTGGCATGAAATGAAAATGTCATGATTCTTCAGTTATGATAGCAGATTCATTGTTAGAGTTAGCTTGTGTTAAATCTAGTCTGTGTGTTTGACCGTGGAACATGTGCAACATTGAATGTATTACCTCTCACAGCAGTTCCTCAGACAGGAAATTGTATCCCTCAGTTGGGTGGTACAAGTGTAATTCTGTTTCCGTGTATTGTGCCATAGAGCTCCTTCTGTGACAGGTTAGATTATCGGTGATACGTCTCTATGTCATGCCCATTTTCTTCTTTGTCTACAAGAATGTCATACCTACAAAGTTTGTGGTATTCCAAGATAATGCCTTGCCAAAGTTACAAATTCCAATATACATAAATACCGTTTCAAGTTAGAGGAGGGTCACATTGCCATCATTAGAAAAACCCAGATTTTACACATGTACCCTAATCATTATAGCCAGCTTATGCAGGGATTGAGAATGGAACATCTTTTTAAGCCAAAGTCTCAAAAGAAAGAAACATTTTAAAAGTAAATTAGGCAACAGATGTGTTGATAATTTTTTTATTTTTTCCTTGTATTTTACAACTATATATTTTTAATTACACTTACTCTGCTGTGAACTAGTTATTGGAGAAAAGTAATAACCAAGTAACTATTTCAATGACATCACACCACTGGAGATGTTCATATAAATAATAAGGCCACTGAAGCATACCACAGAAGTCTTTCTCATGCCTTATTGCTTTAGCAGGTTAAATAAATAAACAAGTGTAATAATAGAAACTTCCATATATTCTGGAGGAAGCCAACATACCAAACATGTATCATAGGAATTAGATATAGTGACAAAGGGCACCTCTAAATGCATCCAAATGAATAGAAATTTTGGAATGGCAATTTCAGTTCACACAAACTAGTTTCTGAACCCTGCCAAGCAACTAAATTCTAGACGTAACTGTCTCCTTGCCAACTGTAGTAACCCAAAGTTTCACAGTGTCTTCAGAGAAATAACTGAACTGAATTCTTAAGAGTATGAGAAATGAATAGGATTTAACTTATAACCTTTGGGGTATTCAAAAATGACTTGGTTTCTTTCTAATAACTAACAAATGACATATTATTAATATACCAGCACCATCAACATGGTATATTTATGTTGCTGAAGAATTTTCCAATGTTGGAACTTGCTAAACCGAAAAATATTACTGTTCAATGTAACAATTATTTCTAATTGTATAATAAATAATAACACAAAAACATTGGACATAATATTTCTCCATCGTGCCACTAATCCAAAAATAAAAATAAATAAAATACGAAACATAGGGATCTTTTTTTTTTTTTTTTTTTTGAGACGGAGTTTTGCTCTTGTTACCCAGGCTGGAGTGCAATGGCGCGATCTCGGCTCACCGCAACCTCCGCCTCCTGGGTTCAGGCAATTCTCCTGCCTCAGCCTCCTGAGTAGCTGGGATTACAGGCACGCGCCACCATGCCCAGCTGATTTTTTGTAGCTTTAGTAGAGACGGGGTTTCACCATGTTGACCAGGATGGTCTCGATCTCTTGACCTTGTGATCCACCCGCCTCGGCCTCCCAAAGTGCTGGGATTACAGGCTTGAGCCACCGCGCCCGGCCAGGGATCTTATTATAGTTATTATAACCCTTTGATACATACACTTTTGGGTGAATATATGAAAATGAGATGTTATAATAAAACTGTGTTTCTGAAATCAGATCATTGAAAATTTTGATTATGTATGAACTGCTCAAACTAAAAAGCAGTTTTTAATATATATCCAGTCAAATAATATAATCAGTTCAATCTAATGCTGTTTGTATATATTTATTGTTTTCTCCATTGTTAAATCAGGAACGGTGAAACCCCATCTCTACAAAAAAATACAAGCATTAGCCAGGTGTCGTGGCACATCCTATAGTCCCAGCATCTCAGGAGGCTGAGGTGGGGGGATAGCTTGAGCCTGGGAGGTTGAGGATACAGTGAGCGAGATTGCACCACTGCACCACGGGCTGGGTGACAGAGCAAGACTCTGTCTCAAAAAAAAATACTATTTTAATGCAACGATTAATACTTCATTAGAAATGAAAATGTATAAAACAAAAGTAAAACTAAACAAGATGCTGGGGGAAAAGACATAAATCAGAAATATTACATACAAACCTGAGTGTATGATGTTCGTAGCTTGTAGACAGTACACTACATAATTTTGAAAGCAAAAGCTTTAATAGTTATCTCACTCTTTGAGGCCAAAGAATACCTACTATTAAATTATTTGAACAGCCATACATGTACTGTATGTGTCTGGAAACTGATACTGACTTCTAAGGTGGAGTTTAACAGTCTTCATAGGGACCACATCAATTCCTTCACATAAAACGGAGTTATTTATTTCCAAGATACAATGGTGGTACAAACATTGAGTAAACATTCTCATTCCAAAAGGGATACATCATCCAAAAGAGAAGAGCAACAAGCCCCATGCAAGTGTGAACCCCCTGCAGAGCAGTCGTAATTTTAAAGCTCCAGAATAATCCTTGACTCCATGGCCACATCCAGGGCACACTAGGGCAAGGGGCCAGCTCCCTAGGTCTTGGGCAGCTCTGCCCCTGTGGCTTTGCAGGGTGACCCTGTAGCTGCTGTCACAAGTTGGAGTTAAATAGCCGTTCTAGGGAGGGGAACATCACACAACGGGGGCCTGTTGGGGGTTGGGAGGCTGGGAGAGGTAGCAGGGATTGAGGGGCTAGAGGAGGGATAGCATTAGAAGAACCACCTAATGTAGATGATGGGGGGATGGATGCAGCATGTAGATTCTAATTTAGATGATGGGGGGATGAATACACCATAGCACGTGTATACCTATATAACAAACCTGCACGTTCTGCACATGCACCCCAGAACTTAAAATATAAAAATTAAAAAAAGAAAAGAAAAAAATACCCAGGAATGGGTATTAATTTTGAAAAAACAACAACAACAACAACAAAAAAATAAAAAACAATAAAAAAAACCGGTGTCCTTTCCAGGCTGGGATTGCAAACTGCCAGTGGTTCTGCCAGATTCTTGGGTCTAGAGGGTGATGTCCCCATTCCCACAGCTCCGCTAGGCAGAGTGCCTCTTCCGGTCATTCGGGATG